TTATTTCAAAAGATTCGAGTCCAGCTTCATTATCTTGTTATTGTATGTTAATGACATGTTGGTAGCAGGACCTTGTTTGGAGGAGATAAACAGTTTGAAGAAGCAGCTAGTAAAGGAATTTGCAATGAAGGATCTGGGTGCAACGAAGCAGATTCTAGGGATGCGAATTAGTAGGGATGAAGCTGAAGAGGCATTGAGATTGAGCCAAGCTGAATACATTGAGAAGGTACTTCAGAGGTTCAACATGCAGAATGCTAAAGTTGTTAGCACACCTCTTGGAAGTCAGTTCAAGCTATCTGAGGAGCAATCGTCTATGACAGATGCAGATAGAGAGCATATGAGCAGGGTGCCATATTCTTCGGCCATTAGGAGTCTCATGTACGCAATGGTTTGCACGAGGTCGGACATCGCCCATGCAGTAGGAGTTGTGAGCAGATTTGCAAGCAATCCGGGGAAGCAGTATTGAGAGGTCATGAAGTGGATAATGCGGTACTTGAGAGGGACAACGAACAAGCCATTACGTTTCAGGAGGAAGGAGTTGGTGCTGCAGGGATACGTGGATGCAGACTTCACCGATGATCATGATACGAGGCGAAGCACCATGGGGTATGTTTATACCTTAGCGTTGACAGCAGTGAGCTGGGTCTTACTTCTACAGAAGATTATGACTTTGTCTACAACCGAGGCTGAGTATGTCGCTGTGACTGAAGCAAACAAGGAGATGATCTGGTTGAACGGGTGCTTGGAAGAGTTGGATCTAAAGCAAGGGAGAGGAGTTCTTTATTGTGATAGCCAGAGCGCTATAAATCTTGCCAAGAATCCAGTATATCATGCCAGAACGAAGTACATCGACGTCAAATACCATTTTATACGCTCGCTAGTTGAAACGAAAAGTTGCATTTGATAAAGATTTTGGAGAGTCAAAATCCGGCGGACATGTTGATGAAGGCAGTCACCATTGAGAAACTAGAGTTGTGCGCAACTTCAGTTGGTCTTCACGAGTAGAAGACGAAGACGGAGCCACACTACGAAGATCGGCACGATCCCCGGGATATTGTTGATTGAAAAAAGAATTTTTTCCGGGGAAGAAGATGCATGCAAAGAAGGGGAGAGTTCGGGTGAATTCACTGCAGAAACTTTAGTCTCCAAGTGGGAGATTGTTAGTCTAAGGTGTAGACCCAAAGTCGAGACGAAAGCTGGAATCAAAATGACGAAGAAAACGACCTGATAGATCCACGGTCGACCACGAGAATCTGGCGGTCGACCGCGAACGTGCATAGGAGCTCAGGAGGAGCTAGATCCGAAGGCGGTCGACCGCAACGGTCGACCGCACCTACCTTGTAGGATTTTTTGGTCTCGGGTTTTTGATACGATCGACCGCCACGGTCGACCACGAGACCTGCACGGTTGACCGTCACGGTCGACCGCGACGCTGTCAAACAGTTTCCTAAACTGTTTTGGATTCTGTTTCTACCAGACTCTATATATACCTTAAACGTTTTTAGGGTTTATACAACACGAAAAAGAGAGCTTTTTTGACTTCAAAAACAGAGAGAATCTCAGAGAGATTAAACCCTAGTTTCAGAGCTTGTATTTCTTCTTCAATTAATAAAAAAATTGTGTGGTGTGGCTCCCGAGAACATAGGCACGTTGCCGAACCTCGATAAATCTGTGTGTTCGTCTCCTTTACTATTTTTGCAAGGTTAGATCTTTATTTGTGCTATTATTCCTACTTTCCTACTTTTAACACAAGGTCCGGAAGGGCAAGGGTTCGATTGATTATTTTGAATCCCCAACATAAATGAGTAGGACAAAAGATTTAAAAACTAGGGATACTAGGTAGCGATCCCATAAGCTAGCATTTAATGAACAAAGTAGTAGTAAATTTTTAGAGAAGCAAAAGAGAGAGTTTTGCTCACAAAATTATCAAGTGCATCTGGATCCATGACATTAAATATGCATCAAATGGATGTCAGCCATTGGATCACTAGATTTCAGGATTTGTGTAAAGATTCAAGGGCTAACATTCTTTAGATGCGCATTTAATGTCATGGACTTTCTTCAAATGATATTTTATCATTTTGCTCGTAAGTAAATAGAGCTGCAAAAACAATACCCTACTCCTTTGCTTCATCTACTTTAATTGCAAAGTAGTTTCGTGCAAACAAAGAGGCTTGTAGTAAGATTCTTTGCTTGGGCATTTTGGATGGAAAAGTGAGAAATAAAACAAGTGTTGCTTTGAATTGGTATTCAGTAACCAAATCAACGTTCATTTCTCTATTACAAAAAGCGTGGAAACGTGAGTTTGTTGAGAGGAAATCTCTCATTGGGCGGATCTGAGGGGGTGGGGATAATGAGTTTAGCCCCTATAAAAGGAGGATCAAACTCCTTGAGAAAATAACAACGAAGAAAAGAAAATAAAACTCCTTACACATTATCGGATCCCCCCCCTCAAAGAAATCCTCTTTCTTCTTCTCTGAGCTCGATCACTGGTATCAAAGCTACTGCATCGATCAACCATCTCGAGCTCTGCATCAATTGTCTACGACGACGCTGCGATCTGCGACTTCGATGATGACCTTCGACAACGCTACGATCTACGACTTCGACGGCTGCTAGGAGATCGGGTCGCTAGAGACGGGATCGTCGCACCGTCAGGATCTGCTCAACGACGTCGGTGGATTCGTCGTCATCTTGAACTACCTAGGCTCTACATCTAAGGTTACACGGTGCCCTCCACTTCAAGAGACGAGCAAGCCAAGTTTTCATGAGGCCCACAACAAATCTCTGCCCAAGATCACGCGATGCCCTTCCAATTCAAGAGACAAGCAAGTCAATTTTTCACGCGGCCCACAACAAATCACTACCCAACTTGGATTAATCAAGAACACCCAGGCCCACTTACAAGGCCCATTGTCCCACCAATTTACAGCTCCTCCATTTTTATTAGTCAAGCAGAGCCACTTCTAGATTAAAAAATAAAAATAAAAATAAAAATAATCAGTCAACTGTAGTTGTCTGAAAATCCTATCTAATGGAATCCAACGATATCAGCAGATCATCTCTACAATTCAAATAGAACCAACTTCAACAAGTGCTGATCCAATCAACACCACTGAGTGACAATCTCGTTCAAATTGGAGCCTCTTTCATCTACTCGGAACAGTCAGGTTCATTTTAATTAATTTATTTATTTATCTAACTTTATTCTAATTTAGTATAATTGTAAATATATATACCAATCTTATATATATTTAAATTGAATTTAGTTTTAGTTCTTTACCGAATGGATAGTAAATTCGTTCTATCAGAACTAGAAAAAATTAACAAATTTAATGATAGTAATTATGATATGTGGCATAGAAAAATAGGATATTCTCTTATTCATGACAATATTGATGACGCAATCGAAACCACTGCTCTAACCCTTACTGATAAATCAACACCTGAAGAAAAAAATGGTTTGAACAGTGGAAGTCGAAAGACAAAAAGACAAAAAGCCTTATGCTCATGTTCATGGAAGATAACTTAATCAAAGTTTTTGAAACTTATAAGACTTCCATGAACATGTGGAATGCTATAAAAGAAAAATACGACACTCCAGAATATATTAACATAATAAAAGTTTGGAAATTAGGGGGAGCTAGCTAGGGGGAGAGACGTTGTTGTTGCAAGCTTGCACGAATATTGGCATCATCAACAACAGCAAGTTGGTAGATAGGCTGTAGCATTCAGAACCTCATTATTATTGCGGGCGTAAAACGATACCTCAAAAAGCCGGTTGGCCTTAGTACGCTCTAACGAATTCTCTCATCATCAGCCAACCTCAAAGAAAGGGTCGAGAGAGGACGGGGCGGCTGGGGGGGGGGGGGGGGCATCCACATCGTCCAATTTCCCCAAAAAGAAAGTCCTTCAAATTATCATTATTTCCATATTAATCAAATCATTTTAATGAAACCAATTAGTTAGTATCAAGGACATTATGTCAATCAAAAAGATCTGAAGCGTAAAAATTGCCACTCAGGGCATCTTCAACAGCCGTCCTATCTCACGTCCTAGACTAAATATAGGGAGTAGAAGGGGGTGAAAGTTGTTCTAACATGCTCCTTATGGTGGAGACTAAATATATGAAATATGATTTTGTATTCTAAATCAATGGTAACTCTCTATATTTAATCTCAATATAGGGAGCATTGTTGGAGCAACTTTCCCCCCTTCTACTCCTTATATTTAGTCTATGACATGTGATAGGGAGCCATTTGGAGAGCATTGTTGGAGCACTTTACTCTTTATTTGGCTTCCTATTTCTTAGGACGAGAGATTTGCTTTTCAAATATTGAAAAAACAAATGATCACTTTTGGAGATGCTCTCACACAACTACTATACGCACATGCTATGCCCATTAAAGCCGATGCTTGCTGAAGAAGCTATCGTTAATTATGTGAATCTCAATGTGCATGTGCTTTATTCATACACCACCACACCAACCTTTGATGCGTACGATACAAAAAAAGAAGAAGAAGAAAGAAGAAAGAACATTTTATTAATGTTTTAGGGCTGCTGGGTGATGATGGTCTTATCAGCAGCATCACCTCCCTTTGTGCCAATTAAGTAACCATCATTTTATTACAAAATCTTTCTATAATCCGCGCATCATCGTTAATTATCACCACCCTACGTTACGACGAAACAAATGATCGATCATAAGGTCACATTACGCCACACGACGGAGGCTGCTCCTCGCAGATGAACTCACAGGTCTTGGTCCCACCGTAGCATGGGCCCCCGAACTCATAGTCATAGGGTGGGCCCTTATAGTCACACACAACCGGTCGGTTGGCCGCGTAAACGGGTCGATAGAGGTCCTATCCAGCACAGAACAAGCTATCTGCACCCACCGAAGGCCTCGATCCAAGGCCTGCCAGGCAGCCGCAGCAACCCGAACCCGGGAGTCCAGCGGCGCTCGGGTGGTACGCCGGTTCCGCGGTTTAGCACCGGTTCAGGCTGTGGAGGTTCGGGTTGCAACCCTCTGCTCGGTCCGCGGCGCCTGGGGGGGCGGGGTTCGGGCGCTGGGGGGCGGTTCGGGCGCTGGAGGTTCGGGTGGGCGGTTGCGGTTCCGGGGCGGCGGGCGGCCGGGGTCGGGCTTCTTCTCTTCGGGGCGGTGGGCGCGCGGCGGGGGCGGGGCTCGACTGTTTGGCGGCTCTACTGGCCACAATTGGATGTCCTTGATGACCTTGCAGGCTTTGCAGCATATCTTTTTGATGAGCTTCCTCGGATCGAAGGGTCCGGAGATGGTAACGCTGTTGTTCTTCTCATCGTAGATCACCGATCGTATCCCCTCCCGATCTCAATTTTCATAAATATATATTAATTATTAGGGGAAAACAAAAAGACGAAACGAATATCGCAAAATGTTATATTAATTATTGGGTAATTAACGATCCTCATACCAGCTGTTAATTAACGGAGCAATCAATACATTGGTTTTTACAAAAATTAAATACAAATGGATGGGATGGATTGGATACCTCGGAGTTTGCAGAGAGTCTTCTTGATCTTCTTGGTGCAGGCGACGCACTGGAGGTCTACTTTTAAGATTACCGTGGAGAGCTGGATACATACGTATACGAAATTAATAGTGATTGAGATGCCAATTATATATGAGAATCCGGAGCGAATTTATTACTGATTAAAAGGAAAATTAATTTGAAAGGGCTTTTAGCTGCTACTGAAAGAAGAAAAAAAAATACTCCAGATGATATATAGACGTCGTGATCTTCATAACAAGAGCGGAATTTAATCAAACAGGGAGCACGCACGCAGATAACAATATTTTCTGGTCTTAAAAATTAATTAAAGAAAAGGACAGTTTGATCAGTGAGTTGAGGTAGATTAATAAGCGAAGCTAACCTTCTCTGACATTATTTTGAATTGAGCCTTGAACCGTCCGTACGGAACAAGAGGCGGCTTGGCCCCAAAACGTGCGGGGCTGAATTTAGAGAGAGAGAGAGAGAGAGCGGGGGAGGGAGGGAGGGGGAGCGAAAAGGGGGCTCCCCAAGGGAAGATATTTATACGCTTTAATGGGATGGGGGATGGGTGGGGACTGGTGGACGACAAATCGCATGGTTACACGTGTCAAGCAACCACGCCGCAGAAGCCCATGGTAGGTTAATAATAAGGGGTAACTAATTAATTACTCCACGTAACTAATAACACCGTACGCAACTGTCTATCCATCCGTAGGTAACGCGTCCCCTTCAAAAATCACCCTGTTTCATAAAACGGTTAAAACCTAACCCGCTGCCATTTGTAGTTTATGCTGAGAATTTAGACATTTAACCGATTATTAATTTTCTACTTCTTTTTTGTTCAGTGAATAAGAAGCGACTTAAATTCTAAAAATTCGGAAATTGAAATTGTAGACAACAAGCTTGGAAAAAAAATACGTGGCTATATTTTTTAAACAATTAATGAAGAAAGTGATGCGTGGAAAAGATTTAGCATCTTTGACGATATATATTAATTGATTAATTAATTGTTTTTTGAGGAATAAAACAAAAGAAGAACAGCTGTTGCCTACTTCAGTGTTGGGTACCACCCACTGTGTATAGATGGATGACATGCACCACGCCATACAAATGACAACCAACGTCTCAAGAAGGGTTAGACTAGCGAATCATCAATCAAAAAGACACTAGCAAAACATGCATGATGCCAAGGTGACGGGTGGCGAACCTATCGCCAATGTTGGTCGTCCCGCCAATGGTCTTTGACAGTAGAACTGAAAGTACCATAGAGGGGGGTGAATAGGACATTTGCTAATCTAATCCGATATTAATACCGATTTAAAACTTATTAATAATTATATCCTAGCAAGTATGATACTTAACAAATTATAAGCAATGATATGTAATTAAAAACAAGGGCGATACAAACATGGATAAATATGCAAATGATATAGTTGACAAAACAAGGACGATATAAACATGGACAATTCATTCGAGACCCTGTGCCGGCTTGGTCCTCCTTTTGGTCTTTCTTTTGAGTAGTAATCTTGATGAGTAGCTTCCTTCTCAAACTCTTTTTTGCTTATAAACTCCCTTATGTAATTTTATCGTTATTTGGTGATGTAATACCTTCTAAGTTAATTTAGCCTAGGCTGGTGACTTTCAGTTTTTTTTTTACTTTTCCTTTCTTTTCACCTTCTCCTGGCCTCCTTTTGGTGAGTTAGGATTGTAATTTCTATGTAAGTTTCTTGATATAAATATATATATAATGAGCAGGAAAGTTTTTCCGCTTTTTCAGTTCAAAAAAAAAAAAGGAATTCTATTCTTATGAGGGGTAAGCTTTGTTTTTTATTTAAAATGAAGGATTGTTAACCTCATGATAACGTTAATCTTTTAACAATAATATTTCTCTTATATTATTTTCTTTGTGCATTTGAAGTTTTTCGTGGATTCGGAGATCATTCTCTGCGGACTGAAAGAGCACTCTTGGTAGCTTCTGAGATTTAGCACTTTCTCACTGATTGCTGATCATCTTCGTCAACCAATCTGCCAATCTAGATATGATAATATCACCTGCCCACAGTATCCTCAATCAATCCGCTACAACTCATATGTACCTTTGATGTAGCCATAGTTGTGTGTGATCACCTTGACTATACAAAGTAAACCATGGATACCATCTCCAAACAAATACAGAAGATGGAAGTCTCCAACGGCTTCCTTTAGGCAATTCGTAATTTGTAGGATTCCTCACAAAAAAAATATACATATATAATATAATATACATAATGATAAAGGTGCCGCCAACAAAAGGTGCGGTCTACGTCAAAAGCTAGCCCTCCCCGATCCTCTAGCGGTACTGGAAACGCCCACCATTTTCTTTTCTTCATCCCTTCAAGCGGCGGCTGATTTGGGACTGCCCATCAAATGTCAATATGATGACGGTTGTAAAAGTCTAATGTTAAGTGGTTGCCTGCCCTAAAGTTTCTTATTCCAAATTAATTTCATGAGTTAGATGAGTATCATAAGAGAACTTGTGGCCGCACGTTTTGTTAATTTGGGAAAGAACTCTGCCCATCAAATTTCTAGCTTTAGCACTGTGCAATTGTTCGGTTAGTTCGGCTTTTGGTCAAATTTAATCAAATCAAACCAAACTGCATATCATTCTAAACCGAACTGAATCGATTCAAGTCGGTTCGGTTCGGTTCGGATCGATTTTTTCGGTTTTCACTTGGATACAAATGTTATGTCTCAATTCAATTTCACTCATAATTTGTTGACGAAAAAAGAAGTCTCTTACACTTTAATTTATTGAAATTCATAAACTATCAAATGCTACTGAATATTAGATATAGAAATCAAAATCTTATTCCTGCCAAAGTTCACATAAATTTTTTTTAGAGAAAACTTACATAAAAAATTTAAGTCATCTCAATCTGATAGACAAAGTAGATAAAAAGTATGTAATAATTTGGATGTTGGGTATAATTTCTATAAAATTATAAGTTTGATCCAAAGAGAAGTCTGATTCAAAGATTTTCTTGCATTGTGTGTATCAATCAAGGAGAAAAATCAAGAAAAGATTAGAATTAACATTATAGTTTAAGTTTCTTATCTCCAAAATGGATTGGTCCAAAGCAGAAGAAGCTAATAGATAGTAGAGAGAGATATAGAACTAGAGATGATGAAAAGCCCTAGAATTGGAGAGGATACTATTGTTGGGGTAGTTCTTCGCTATCAGGTTGCGTGAGAGAAAAAGATATTATTCTGTAGCGAAGCAACTGTATATGAACTATAATGGGTCAAGTTTAAATGGATGCGGATAGTAATTAGAATGAGTAATACAATTCGATCGGTTCGGACAGTTCAAGTTGAAATTTTTTTAACCTAACCCGAACCGAACTCTAGTTAAAACCGAAGCGAATTGTCACGTTTCGGCTGGTTCGGTCGATTTGTTCGGTTTGAACCAAACTATGCTCACTCCTATCTAGCGCTACCTAATTTAACATGGTGCATCTGCTGTCAAAATAGGAATATAACAATATAAAAAACAAATTAAAGAGTTAGAAAATTCAAGCCTGATCGGGAGCAGTCGTGATGTCACTGCCCTAGAAGATTAAGGACCCGTCTATCACCCTGGCGCAATTTGTCCCCTCTCCCCTAGCGGTAAAAATCCCCGAAATCGGCCAGCCTCTGCACTCGGGCGTGAGTCACAGAGCTTATGCTCAGACGAAAACGATTGCCCAAAAAATAGAAATATAAATATGTAGCCGAAATTTCTTGGAGAAATGAGAATAGAGAAAGAAGAGAGCTTAGAAGTTCTTCTCTTCGTTGGTGTGCTTCTGAATGAGCTCCAAGCCTGCTTATATAGGTGAGGAGAGGTGTAACCCCCGTTGAATCCAAGAGACCGTTACGCACAAATCTTGCTTCCGTTATCTGCATGCAGCTGTTACAGAACTGTTTGTTGGAAAATTTATAGTAAAAAGAAAATGAAGGAAAATTAATTTGTATTCCTTTAAATCTTAATTATAATTGGATTCCGATTACAAAAGAGAAGAGAATGATCTGAATTCTCCCCTTTGTTTAAGTCTGGTTCTTCACGGTGGCGATGAGATGCCTCCATCGAATGCTCGTGTCGAGTTTGCTTCTCGTTGACGATCCGAACGTTTTGATTCACTGGAACATGGTCTTCTCCTCACGATTTGACGTTGTGGAGAACTTGCAAAGCAAGTTTTAGGACTCTGGACGAGTTGATAACTCTGAACGAGTTTGAAACTCTATGAAAGAGTTGATTTGAACCGAAAGTTCGGTTAATCAGCCAAGGGAATGCTCCAAGGACTTTGCTGTTGCAGAAAGCTCCAAGATGCCCGATCAAGGATCCCCAAAAAGTCAGCCGAAAAGAGTATCCGAACTCAGTTGAGTTTCCCACTATTTATAGGGGATTTAGGGGTGTAACCGCCCCCTTAAATCTCTCATTAATGAGGGTTTAATAGGGTGTAACTGCCCCCTATAAATCTCTCCACGATAGGGTAGTGATCCCCTCAAATCGTGGTGAGAAAACGGTTCTGGAACCGTTCAAATCGTGCTTGAACGAGTCAAACACTAAAAACAGCGTTCTGGGCCCGAACTCTGTGTTTTAGACCTGAAACGCAGAGTTGGGCCTGTTTTAGGCTGAAAACGCACAGGTCGTGATGCGCAGAGATGAACTCTGCGTTTTGGACTTGGGACGCAGAGTTGGGTTCTGCATGAACTGTGTGTTTTGGACCTGGGACGCAGAGTTGGGCTCTGCATGAACTGTGCGTCTTGGACCTGGGATGCAGAGTTGGGCTCTGCATGAACTGTGCGTTTTTGTCGTTGGACGCAGAGTTGAACTCTGCGTTTCAAGTCCACGAAATCTGCATTTCAAGTTTGGAACGCAGCCACGACCTCTGCGTTTTGAATCTCAAATGTGGTCACGACCTCTGCGTTTTGAGTTTAGAACGCGGGCATGACCTCTGCGTTTTGAGTTTGGGACGCGGGCATGACCTCTGCGTTTTGATTCTTAAATGTGGTCACGACCTCTGCATTTTGAGTTTAGAATGCGGGCATGACCTCTGCGTTTTGAGTTTGGAACGCGGGCATGACCTCTACGTTTTGAATCTTGGATGCAGAGCTAAGCCTCTGGCGGGCTCCGTGAACTTCAGCCTAAGTCCAATGTTCAGACGAAGTCCAGTCTTGCAGACAGACTTCAGAACATAACTTGCTGCGAAGAACATATCATAACTTTCAAACCGTAAGTCAGAATTGGACGAATTATATATGAAAATCAGCTATCTCGACGAGACGGAGCCGACCAAACCAACCCCATGGGGTTTGGTTTGCTCCGTCGGTTTTGCCAAATTCCTTACGGTTTGAGAGATATCTGTGTTTTAATATGAAGAGACCGTCGATTTGTAGTCTCTTTTGCTAGAGTGTTGCAAAGATCGTCATCTTGTAACCTTCGTCTTGGCTCCTTGAAAATGTGAGAGTCGTCAGATTGTAACTCCC